ATCGATATAAGCGCAACCGGTGGTTTTATTTTTCATATTTTATATTGGAAAATTATCAATAATCACTTCCGGTTTCCTCTTTCTCTTTCTCTCTCTCTCTCTCTCTCTCTCTCTCTCTCTCTCTCCCTTTTTCTCTCTTTTTTAAAATTTTTTAATCTCAAATCTTATCGCGGCTATAGATCGATCGATCGATCATCGTTGCAATACAGAAATTTATCAGTTAAAATCGACGCCATTTTGAATTTGATAATTATCGTAATCTTATAAAAAAATTCGTCGATTCGTCATCGATTCATTCGTGCCACGACAAAAATTTGTTTAAAAAAAAACGTGACGACAAATTTAAAAAGTGAGAGGATGGGGGGTGGTGATTTGGAAAATCGTGAAAATTCAACCCCATGCGGTCGGGTCAATAGAAAAATTAATAGTTGACTATATACCGGTTGTGACACGATTTTAACCATAGTACGTGACACATTTTACAATGAGAGAAAGAGAGAGATAGAGAGAGAGAGAGAGAGAGATAGAAAAGGGGGGAGGGGAAATCCATTTTGGTTTTAAATGTGTGCATTTTTGAAGTTTTTTTAAAAAAAAAAAAAAATTTTTCGTGTCAACGTTTTTGTTTTTATGAATTCAATTCGTAGTAGAATGACTCACTTTTTTTTATTTATATTTAGAGGAACGTTTTGATCTCAAAAAAAATTGCTGAACGGTTTTTGGCACGTTCGTTAACTTTTTAAAAAAAAAACAAATGCAATAATTTTTTTTTATTAGAAATTCTGACCGTAATGCAATTAAAAACAATAACTCTATAGAGCTATAAAAAAAAAAATGTTTTTATAGACGTTATCCTTGTAGTTTTTTTTTCTCTTTATATTAATCGAGTCTGATGTAATCCCTCCCTCCCCTCCTCTCTCTCTCTCTCTCTCTCTCTCTCCCTCTTCATTTTCTCTTTTTGTATTTCCCTCTCTCTCTCTCTCTATCGTTTTCTCTCTTTCTATTGCTTTCATTCTCTCTCTGTCTCTTCATTTTCTCTTTCTGTAACTCTCTCTCTCTCTCTTTTTCGTTCACTTTTTCATTCTGTACTTCTCTCTCTCTATCATTTTCTTTCTTTCTATTGCTTTCATTCTTTCTCTCCCTCTCTTTGTATCTTTCTCTTTCATTCTCTCTATTTCTATGTATCTTTCAACGGCTTTCGTTTTCTCCCTCTCTCTCTCTCTCTCTATATTTCTCTTTCATTCTCTCTTTTTCTTTGTATATTTCTCTTTTATTCTCTCTCTTTCTTCCTATATTTTTCTTTCACTCTCTCCCTCCCTCTCTCTCTCTCTCTCCCTCCCTCTCTCTCTCTCTCTCTTTCAAAATCCGTTTTCCTAACGTTTTCATTCTCTCTTTTTCTATGTATCTTTCAACGGCTTTCATTTTCTGTCTCTCTCTCTCTCTCTCTCTCTCTCTCTCTCAACCTAATCTGTTTTCCTATCGTTTTCATTCTCTCTCTTTCTATGTATCTTTCAACGGCTTTCGTTTTCTCTCTCTCTCTCTCTCTTCTCTTTCAAATCCGATTTTTAAACTTGAAAAAAGCGTCGTTGATAGATTAGCACTTAAATTTTTTTAATCCGTCAGTTTTTTATTATTAATATTTCAAAATGAGTAAAAAAAAAAAGAAAGAAACACGTAAGAGGTTTTATTTAACACCCCTTAATCCGCTCCTGATTCTTTATGTAAAAAAAAAAAATAATTTAAATTTTTTTTAAGGGTTGTTACGTTGGTTTCGAAAAAAAGAAAATATAAAATTGTATTTGTAAATGAAACCTACAAAACCTGGAGTACGCTGTGCGAATTTTTAATAGCATTTAAACGGGGGGGAGAGAGAGAGAGAGGGGGGGGGAATTTGTACAAAGAAAGAGAAAGAGAGAGAGAGAGAGAGATAAAGAGACAGTAGCAAATTCATACAAATAGAGGGAAATAAAGAAAAAGGGAGACAACAAATGAAAACAAAAAGGGAGAAAGAGAGAAAGTTAGGAGAGAGAGAAAGAGAGGAGGCAGGGGGCGGGGGGGGGCGGGGCGTGAGCTTAACGAACGATACCGGAAGTTGTTAGAGAAAAATTGACTTTATCCGATTAAATGACCTAAAAACATATTTTCGAAAATTTTATTCTCGATTCGTATTTCAATTATTTTTCGATTTCCCCTCCTTGGAAAAATTTAAAATTTTGGGTCGATCATCGAGGGATGGAGTTCGGGGAGGTGCTCAGGGGGCGGGGGGTCGATCGAAAAATCGAAAACTTTAAAGTTTAATAATCTTTAAAATATTTTTCACGCGCGAATTTTCTTTTCTCTCTCTCTCCCCCTCTCTCTCAAACCGCCACCTCTCTTCACCCCCCTCTCTCTCCCCATTATCGTCATCTTCTTTCATTTCCTCCTTCGGCTTTTAAATTAATATTTTCTTTTCATTTTTTTTTCCCTTTTTTTTTCCACTCGTTACTGTTTGTTGTTATTGTTGTCGACGATGTTTTTTTTTTTCTTTCCTTCTTTCACTCAACGGAAACGATTATTTTTAAAGAAAATTTTTTTTTTTGTTATTGTGAAATTTTTTTAAAAACTTTTTCAATTTAAAAAAAAAAAAAAAAGGGATTTTCGTAATGGCGTCATCGTCGTTCGTTCGTTCACACGCATAAAAATAAATGCCAAAACGCAAAATTTCTAAAAAAAACATAAAAAAACATAAAAACACAAATTTCCTGTTTCTTTTTCGTTTTTTTTTTTTTTTTTTTTTTTTTTAATTACTCGAAAGTGTTTTCGTAAGTGGGACGAGCGCCTACGCATTTCAATAATAATAATAATAATAATGATAATAATTTCATGTATAAAATAAAAAAAATTTTTTTAAAGTCCTCGATCTCGTTCGATTTTTTTCTTTTTACTTCATCCTCACGTTAATTACTTATGTAATAATAATAATAATAATAATAATAATAACAATAATAATAATAATAATAATAATAATAATGACGATGATAATGATGATGATGATGACGCAAAGAATTAAAAAGAAATGAAAAATGTTTACATAAAAATTAATATTATTATTATCATTATTTAAAAAAAAAAAAAAGGTGATGACGACAACAACCACAACAACGAGAACAATAAGAGACCATGGCCTAAAAATTATATTAACGATTTTTTTTTTTAATAAACTATAAATGGCGTGAAAATTATTAAAAAAAAAAAAAATTATTTCCATCGCGATATAGTAAAAGTTTATTAAAATAAAAAAAAAATTTATAGCGCTTTAATAAAGTCTTTTTTAAAACTATATGAATTATAGCAAAATAAAAAAAAAAAAATTTACTTTGAGACATTTTTTATTGATTTCGAAAACAAAAAAGAAAGTTTTAAATGAAATTAAACAAAAAATAAAATCCCTTCTTTCTTTTCCTCATCATCATCATCATCGTTATCGTTACACGTCATCATTTTGACGTGGCAGCAAATAAAAAAAAAAAATCCTCGTACTCGTCATCTATAAACTAATGCGGGTGATAAAAATTTTCCGAGAAGAAAACGAAAAGAAAAAAGAAAAAATTTCGAAACGATTTCAGCCGGAAAAGAAATTTCCGTTTTTTAGAGAAAAAAAATTTCGATGTATCGATCGATTAATCGATCAATCGTTCGATATATCGAAATGAATTTTTTTGTTCGAAAATAAGAAACTAATATCATTTATTTACAATTGAGCCAAAACGAATAATGATAATGATAATGATAATAATAATAATAAATTTGTAATTTCTTCGACTTTTTCTCTCTATTGTGGAATCCGACATCAACAACAACAACAACAACCAAAACAACAAACAATGAAAAAGTTAGTCACGTTATAATTCCGATTCGATATATATATATATATATATATATTAGTTCATGTTTATTTTTAAATGACTGACTGTTGATGATAATAATAATAATAATAATAATAATAATAATAATAATAATAATAATAATAATAATAATAATATTGATTATTAGGAATAAAATTTATTTTTAAAGTATGGAAAAGTAAAAAAAAAAAAACAAATGGGTTTATTTTATAAATAATAATAATGATTAAATTTACTGTGGAAAAATATGAATCACGTGATAAGAATTTAATTTTTTATCGATAAGAGTCTCGCACTCACGCACCCACGCACAAAAGAACGAGAGTGGGGGCGGTGTGGGGGTGGGAAGAAAACATTAAAACTATTTTGTTTGTAACAATAACAAGAAAACTGTCAGTTTTTTAAACAAAAGAAATTTAATTTTCGATATCAAAATAATACAAAAAAAACTTTTAACTAAATAAACAAACAAACAAACAAACAAAACGACAAACGGAAATAAAAAAAAAAAAAAAGAGAAAAGAAAAGATGATAATAAAAACAAAAAAAAATTTTTTTTTTTTCGTGTTTTTTTTTTTTTTTAACACGTTAAAAATGGACAATACTTTTTAAATCACGTTTGTTTAAAAAACAACAACGACAACAACAACGACAAACAAAAAAAACTTCCTGCCAAAAAAACAAACAAACAAATAATTTTTTTTTTTATTAATTTAAAAGAAAAATTGAAAATTGAAAAATTGAAAATCGATACGCGATGGATTTAAAAAAAAAAAAAAGAAGAAGAAAATTACGCAAACAACCAAAATAAAATTTTCTTTTTTTTTTGCTGTTGGAAAAAAATAAATAAATAAAAGCGCGGGAAATTCAAAATCAAAAAAAAAAAAAACAAACTTCAAAGTTTGTGATAATTTTTTTTAGCAAAACAGATGCTGCATGGAATACGTTGAGAACAAACAAATAGAAAATTTCAAAATGTTTTCCCTTTGTTCCCTTCGACCGCAAAATTTTTTTTAACAAAACAAACAAACAAACAAACGAACAATCGGTGAACGCCTTTTCGATAATTAATTATTATTATTATTATTGTTATTTTACAGATTTTATCCTTTCGACAAAATGTCTTGCGATGATGAATCCGGAAATTCTTTTCCATTTATCGACGACGACGACGACGGCGGCGGCGTCGATGACGTCAACGATGACGTCGACACCGTCGACGATTTCCATTACAAGTTAAACATAATCGAAAAATACAAGAATAAAAATCGTAATATCGAAATTAAAAATCAATCATTCTCGAATGAATTCATAAATAATCCTCCTCCTACTATCGCACCATTGGCTTACGAAAATGATTTATCAGACGACAAAACCGATGATAATAATAATAATAATAATAAATCCTCGGTTGGAAATTCTCGGGATTCGACGATATTAAAATTAGTCGTTAGAGGATGGAATTCGACGATAAGCATTCAAGGTTTGGATAAAAAATCAAACATATCCTTTAATAGAAAAATCGTACAAGGTAAAAAAAAACAAACGACGACAAAACCGACGGTGACGACAACAGGGAAAAACGTCGAAAACGTACAAACGAATAATTCGATAAAAGAATCGACGAAGAAAAAAAAATGGAAAATGTTAACGAAATCAATAATATCGAAATCGAAAAAATTCGATAAAAAATCAGACGAAAGATATCCGAAATACGTTTTATTAAAAAACGAAGAAGAGGAAGAAGCAGGAGGAGAAGGAGGAGGAGGAGAAGGAGGAGGAGGAAGAGGAGAAATCGACGAGAAAAAAAAAATCGTGGCAGGATCATTATCGAACCCGAATGAAAAAACGACGAAGAGTAAAAAAATAATAGAAATAAAAAAAAATAAAATGATACCAACGAAAACGACAATCCCTAATAAAACCCCATCAATTAATGTTAATTCAAATGATGTTGAGGAAATATGGAAAACCGGAAGTGAATCTCAATTGATATTTAACGTAACGAGACGTTCGTCGTCTCAGGGTCGAGTTTTTAACGAAATCGAAAACGTATTAAAAGAAGCATTGAAATTATGTCCGGAAGTTAAAGCCACGTTCGATGTATTTAAAAACGATGGAAAAAATAAAATCGAAAAAAAAAAATCGGTTCCCTTCTGTAATACGTCATCGTTAAATCCTCCCGGTAAAAATAATAATCGATATACCGGAAATAAAACGAATACCGAAACGGATACACGTCATAATAATACTCAAAATGATGATGACGTCAAAAAAAACGGTGAAAAAAATCAAAATAATCATTATGATAAAGTAAATGATGATGTTGAATTTTCCGAAAGGAAAAATACAAACGAATTATTACCGGAAACGTATCAACCGGAAAAAGATTTTGATAATTTACAATTTGGAATATTATCAAGTTTTTTTTCATCTCCTATACTCATTATGAAAACTTGCAAAGATGAAATTTTTAATAATAATAATAATAATAACGATGAATTTGAAGAAGCGAACGCTCTACGAGGTAAAAAAGATAGAAAAAAATTTCAATTTCCGCACAATTTTTTGGCGGGAAAATTTAAATTTTTCGTATTTTCAGAAACTTCGACGAATGATGACGTCGAGACATTACCATCGACTTCGAATATTTTATTAAAATCGAAAATTTATACAAATGATGATGATGATGATACTAAAAAAAACGTGTCATTAGACGATTGTCCTAACCGTTTACCCGTATCAGATGAAAACGACGTGACGAAATCAGAAGAGGAAACGGAAACAACGACGAAATATTACTGCATACGTACGTAGTAAGACTCATCTCGCAAATTATAAAAAATTTTTTTTTGCTGTAATTTAACCGAGGGAGGGGGAGGGGGAATTTTTTTCTTAACGACAGCAAATTTAATAAAACTTAAATTTAAAAAAATGTCTCGAGACGAATTATTGAATCGCCTACGAAGAAGAAGAAGAAGAAATTTATCGCGCACACGCATTTTTTTAAGAAAAGCCAATAAATCATCAATTTTCCCTTTCTTTTTTTTAGATACAGAAACGGAAGCTGGAAAAAATCGTGATGATGACGTCACATCGACAACAACAACAACTACTACCACGACGGAATTCACATTAAAAACCGATCAAACGGATGATAATTTATTACTAACTAAAACCGGTTATAAAGTTTCCGATCAATTATCGAAATTATCGTTAAATTTTTGTCAAAATAATAAAAAAAAAATTATCGTCGATGAAAAACCGGAAATGGATAATATCGAAAAATTAAATGATAATGATAATAATGATAATGATAATAATGATAATGATAATAATAACGTGGTTATAACATTTAAAATGTGCGGTAAAAAAACCGTGAGTGTAATTATTCCAAACGACGATTTAAATTTTGTTATAAAAAATAATAAAAAATCCGGGATTAATATTAATTTTAATAATAACAATAATAATAATAATGATAATAATGATAATAATGATAATGATGATAATGATAATACTGGAAAAATCAATCGGGATGATATGACGAAATTTATTGCTGATAAGAACGATTTATGGTGGGATCCCGATAAAAATGGTTCCACGATGATGATGATAAAAAAAAATGATGGCGGCGATGGCGACGGCGATGACGACATTTTGAAAAAAGGTTTTTTTTTAATCGTTCTTGGATATTATTTACACTTGCACTTTTCCCTTTTCTACCGCCACGTTTTCCAGAAAAAAATAAAAATAAAAATTTTTTCCTCCCCTTTTTTTTTTTTTTACAGATTCTGGAAACATCAAATTGTCAATAATCGATAATAAAAATAATAATAATAATAATAATAATATAGTTTTATCAATCGGAAATGATAATAATGATAATGATGATGATGATAATAATGATGAGAAAAAAATTCAAATATCGAAAAATGAAGAAGAAAAAGTTCTTACGAAAGAAGCCAACGTTGGAACGGATGAAAATTTTTTTTTGGCTGGAGGAAATTTTCCACATTCGAAAGGTGATTATCGTTTTTTCTTTTTCCATTTTGTCGTGCCTGGAAAAGCACAAATATTAGGGGGAGGGTTGTAAATCGTTATGCGTGAATTCGACGAGAGGAGGAGGAAGGGAAGGGAGCAGAAACGCAGTTAAAATTTTTTTTTTATCCCGTTTAAAATTTTCACGTGGGCGTTTTTTGAGTTACAAAATTTTCGCAGGGATTTTATCCAGTTTTTTTTTTTTGTTAATTTATGATGATGATAATGATGACGATGACAGACAAACGTATAAAAAATAAAACATTAAATGACGTCATCATGTTTTATATTTTTATTGAACATGGGTGTTGTTGTAATTAAAACAAAAGCGGAACCCGATTCGTTTGAAATAATTTTTATATCATCACCATAATCATCATCATTATTACTATTATTTGTTTAATTGAAAATATCGTTTGTGTCTTCTGCTAGATTTTCATAAACAATAAAAAAAAATAAAAGTTAATTATGTTTCATTACTCTTGATGTTGTCGTATTAAATTTCTTTTTTTTTTTTAATTGTCGCGTTTGTTTTTGTCGATTTGAAAAAAAAAAAAAAAAACGGTTTTGTGATTTTCATTAAATGTCGTTTGTCGTCGTTTGTTTTCAATGAATTTGTTTGTAGATCAACCGAAAAAAAAAAAAATTCTTTCGTACCCGTGAGAATTTTTCTATAAGTTTTTTTTTATGCGGGTCATTCGATACGTTATCATTATCACCTTCGGAATTTCATTTTTCTTTTCCGAAAAATGTTTTTTCCATTGAAAAAAAAAAATCTTATCACATGCACCCGGAAATGACGTAATTAAATGAAAAAAAAATGATAAATCGAATAAAAAAAAAAAACGAAAAAAACGTCATCGAATCGTCACAATTTCATCCATTTTTGTTTTTAAAGGGAAGGTTTTGTTGTAAAAATCAGGCGGCACGTAGGTAGGATTTACGACGACGACCCCCCTCCTTCTCCCTGTCCCCCCAAAGAAAAAAACGTGTCTTGTTTAAAAATTTTTATTAAATTTTTTTTTTTTTGTTTTTACAGTTGAAGAATGTACGAAAAATCTTTCTCCTCGTAAGAGTCATTTATTAAAAAATTTAAAAGAAAAACTTAAATCCGATAATAATAATTATCATTATCATCACTATCATCATGTTTTTCCGGATGATGATAAAATAATACGGGAATTTATGGAAAATGAAAAAATTCATTTCGGTGGAATTTTTTTACTTCAAAAATTCGATCACAAATCCGTCGATGACGAAAAATTTAATAAAAAAAAATCATCGTGTCAGGTACGTACGTCAGGTATGTTTCCTTATCATCATCATCATCATCATTATTACATTATTCCTTTTTTCAGACACTTTCAACGCTCACAACACGTAAAAACGCGGGAAATATAAGAAAAAATGATGACGTCATTGAAAAATTAAGAGAATATTATTGCCAAGATTGCATGGCGACGATGAGAATTTTCGAAGATGAAAATCCATCCGTTAAAACCATGATCGATAAATTCGAAACAATCATTCAACTTAAAAATTAATCATCATTTCTAATATTTATTTTTAGTTTTTAATAAAAATCGATCGATCGATCGATCGATCGATATCGTTTTCAACTCTCGACTCATTATTTCAATTATTTATTTTAAAAAGTAATAAAATTTATATAGACGATTAATTTTTACTATTTTTATTTTTCGGCTTTCACATCATTGTCAACCAAAACCGTAATTCCAAAATAATGATAATAATAATAATTTAAATGATAAAAAAAGGAAAAAAAAATGGCGGAAATGAATGAATTTTTTTCTATTACTTAAAATGAATTATTTTAAATGAAAAAAAGGGATAACAAATTCAAATATTTTTTAATTTTTAATTTAAAATAAAAAAATGTGCGAGAAAGAGATAGATAGATAGATAGAGAGAGAGAGAGAGAAATTAAATAAATAACCGGAAAAAGTTTCGAAAAGAAAGAAAGAAAAAAAAAGGAAAATTGTATTAATTACCGTTAATAATAAACGTTAAAAAACGTAAACAAAAGGATTTGATTTCTTTTAATATTGCGACGTTGCGTAATTTAACGAAAAAAAGTTTATTTATTCTATGGATTTTAAATAAATAAATAAATAAATAACGAATAAAAAGTAATATTATACGTAATGAACACGTTCAGAAATTTCATATATTTTTTTTTCTTTAATTGTGACGTCATTTTAACTTTTGTTTGTTCGTTATAATTTTTTCCCCGATGTTTCCCCTCCCCCCCCCCTCTCTCTCTCTCTCTCTCTCTCTCTCTCCCCACCTACTCTACGTTTTCATTATTCCTTTTTTTTTTTTCATTATTCCCTTCTCATCCAGACTTTTTTTTTTTTTTAAATTAAATTGAATTAAACGAACTATAAAAAAAAAAAAAAATATTCCATTTTTTTCCCCGTTTTTATTCTGGAACAAAATAATAATAATGATGATAATAATCCATGCGTAACCCATCGGAAATATTATTTTAAATTATTCGATACTGTGTGGAATGACATACGAGAAACAGGGAAGAGGGGAATAATAAAAAAATGGGAAACTTTAAAGTTTTCCTATCGTTTTAAAAAAAAATGACGTCACATTCCAATAAAAATTTTTTTTTTAAATGACAAAAATTGTAAAAAAAAAAAAAATTCTGGGGGGCCACCGAAATGATTTTTCCGGTTATCGATAATAAAATTTTCGTTTGATGTTGTACGACAAATAAATTTAATTACCGTCATCAAAGTAATAATAATAATAATAATAATAATAATAATAATAATTTTTTCTTCGTGTAAATATTCAAAGACAAATTTCGATAAATAAACAATAAACGACGAAATAACTAAATAATAATAAATATATATGTATTTTGCGTGGGACTTCGTTTTCCCCCCACTCCCCATCCCTACCTCCTCCCTACACCCTACCACCGCCTCCCACGCGCGGTGCGAAGGGGGGAAAATTTTTTTAAAACGAAATAATCAGGTAATACGAGAAAAGAAATAAAAGGAAGAAAAAAAACGAAAAACGATCGAAGCGCCAACCAGATCGTTGCGGTCAACCCTCGTACTTAAATTTCTTTCCTTTCCTGCTCGCTTTTCCAGTGTCGAGCGGGAGCTTTTCCAGAATCGATTTTAGTAAAAAAAAAAAAAAAATTTCTACATTTTTTTTATTGTGTTTTGTGTTTTCATTTTTTTTTTTCTAGAATTTTCTTTTTTTTTTTTTAACAGTGAAAGAAAAAATCTATTATTATTATTAATTATAATTTTTTAACAGGATTAATTTATTTTATTTGTGACGTCATCAATTAATTAATTTTTTCTTGTCTAAACGAACGCATATGTACGATTTTTATTATTATTATTGTTATACGTAATTTATTATCATTGTTTTTTTCCACACACACACACCCCTCCCCCTCTACCAACGCAAAAGGGATATTATTATAAAGGAAATCTTATACCGATTCCATACACATATATACTTTGATGAATAATAATAATAATGATAATAATGATGATGGTGATAATAATGTGAAAAAAAGAAGAAAAAGAAAAAAAAAAAATTTTTTTTAGTGTGTGAGTGTTTCGCCGCCACCGCAACTCACCCCCTCCTCCCCCGTATTCTCATCGCGGTTAATATTATGAATGAAAATTTCTTTTTTTTATTTTTTAAAAACTCATCCTTACATCCCCCTCACCTACTGTCCTCCCACGCTCGAATCAACGCTGGAATCGCTTGGAACATCAAACGGTGAGTTTTCCTTTTTTCTTTTTTTTTTGTTGTATTCAACGCGAAAATTCAACAACAAAAAAAAAAAAAAACAAAAAAAAATTTACAGCAGAAGACGCTTTTTTTTCCGCCGTGAACAAATAATAATAATAATAATAATAATAATAATTTTTCACAGTCGTGTTTGTTACGTAATAAAAATATATTTGCAGTCTACACATTTCGCGATAATTTTTTTTTTCAACCCTAATCCCTCCCTCAATTTTCATACCACGATTAACTTTTCGTACATGGGAAGGGGGAAGGGGGAAGGGGGGTGCGCGGGTAGAATAATAAAATAACGGAAAAATCATTTTAAAAAAAAAAAAATTTTCCAAGAGAAAAACGCGAATTAAAAAATTCATATATAAACATTATTATTAACTCACCCATTCGAATCGTCCCGATATTTTCCTATACTGGCAGTGGCGTATCTAAGAAAAAAGAAAAAAGGATTAACGTGAGGTTAAATTAGGTACGTTTTAAATAAATAAATAAACCCGACAGTAAATAAATTTTTTTTTTTTCGTTGGGTTCGTGTGTGCCTGATACACCTGACATAAATACTCGTTATTTCTTCTTATCACGGTCACATGTGAACAAAAAACAATGAGAAGAGGGCCATGGAACCGTGACGGAAGGAGGGTACCCACTCACTCACTCACTACCTTCTCTATCAAATACTACTCAGTTTAGTTCCAGACAAGCGGAAACACGGTTACGTAGTTATTCTCACGATCGAATGTGTCCTTTCTTAATATTACTTGTACTCGTACACGGTTTTTAGTATTATTATTATCATCGAACGAGTGTTTAACATAAAGAATCGATGATGATTTTGATTTTCGAAATGTCGTCGTATGAAAATTTTTTACGAACAAAACCGGAAGTAAATCACAGAAAAAATTATTATTATTATTATTGTTGAGTTTGTTACGTGAAAAAATCGTTCGGGTAGAAAATTTTTATTAAATAAAACAAAATAATTTAATCGTTAATCAAAAATCGGTCGCGGTTACCAACATAAAAAAAAAAAAAAGAAAATTTCTAGAACGATTTGACGTTTGTTTTTTTTATTGTTTCAGAAAGGAAACTTTCAAATAATTAAAAAGTTTTAGTTAAAAATAATTAAAACAAACAAACAAACAAACAAAATGAGGCAGAAGAAAAAAATAGATAATACAAAAGTGGAAACGATGGAAAAACCGGAAGCTTGCGTTAAATGTTCGAAAATGCAAAATGGGAGAAATTGCACGTTCGAAAACGAACAACAAACGGATGGTGGACAAACGAAACAACAAACAAGCACGTTAAGCACGTTAAAATCCGTACTTAAAAGAACGACGAGTCATAAAAAGGATAAAGTATCAAAAAATTCAACAACAACGACAAACGACAAAATATCATCGGGATCTAAAGAAATATCGACGACAAACAATTCTAAAAAGAATAAAAATCGCGTACAATTCGACGAAACTCAAAATAAATATTTCGAAGCAGACTACGTTATATTAATACACGAAGAAGATTACGATTTGGATGATTATTACGACGAGGGTAGTCCTTTCGATGACGAAGATGACGATGTGTACGACGAGGGTATGATACCCCCAAAGATATGTTGCAGCAATCCGAATTGCAACAATACAATAACCCTATCGAATTACGGTTACCTACCCCCCAACGGTACTCTAGACGTGGGATCCGGGAGTTATCACAGGGTACCGGACGATAGAGAACGTTTGGATTTTTTAACTCATTACTACGATGGCCACTATCGTGAAATAAATCAAAACGATACAATGAGAAAATATAACAATCCTACAACCGTCACTGTTCGATGTGAAAACGATAAGTGTAAAAATTGTTATAATTATTTCGATTTCGATATGAGTTGTTTGAAATCTGATCAAGGGAGTCAAGATTTTAGTGATCAAGTGACTCTTAGCCCACCGGAAGGATATAAAGATGGCGGATCACATCAATGTTGTCCGCATCATCATCATCATCACGGATCTCATTTTCACACCGCAATTAACGAACCTACACATCCTCATAAAATATCATCGTCGTCGTCGTCGTCGTCTGTGAATAAAACACCGATCGAATTACAACAAAATGATGGTAAGTGAAAATCTATTCTTTTTTTATACTACAGCGACAAACAAAAAATGAACAAACGAATAAACAAACGACAAATTACGCAAAAAAAATCCAGAGATAATTAATACGAGTAGCAGATTGAATTTGTTTTAATTTAAGGTATAGTAAAAAGGTTTTGTGTCAATGTATTCAAACAAACATACAAACAAACAAACGATCGAACGAACAAACAAACAAACGAAAGAACAAACGACAAATCACGCGAAAAATAAATCCGGGGATGATTAATTCAAATAGCAAATTGAATTTGTTTTAATTTAAGGTATAGTAAAAAGGTTTTGTGTTAATTTATTCAAACAAACAAACGACAAACGATAATAAAAAAGGTATGAGATCGAAAACTATTATTATTATTATTATTATTATTATTATTATTATTAAAAACAACATAATTAGTTACGCAAATGATTCCATTCCGACCTTGATTAATTATTTTCATGGTTAAACGGGAGGAGGTTAAAATTATATTCATAGAGGAGAGGGGGGGAAAGAAAATTATAGCGGGGTTTATAATAATTATAGTAATGCTATAAACAAAACAAAAAAAAAAATTAAAGAGCTAGTAACTGAAGAATGTTCTAGAAAAAAAAAAAAATGTCAATAACGATGACGACGTGTTTATAGTACTAAATCAATTAAAACTATTTTTCCTTTTTCCTTTTTTTTTTGATTTACGAACGAAATTTTTTTATTTATTTATAAAAAAATTTTGTCGTCTGCTTTAATTTTATTTATTTATTTATTTAATAAATTGCGATAAATTTATAGCGTTGATAATTTATTATTATAGCGCGTTTATAAACTATTTAAATTTTTTATAAATAAATAAATAAAATTCGACAGTTTTAAAAAAAAAAAAAAAAAAAAAATAAATTTTTTTTTTTCGAAGGTTGGCGTCACTGTTGATAAAAATAAAAATAAAATTCTAGAAAATACCTTTTGAAGGGCGTAAATGTGAGGGGGGAGTTTACTTTCCACCCCCTCTCCTGCTCGCGCCGGAAAATTTTTTTCTTTTTTTCTTTTTCTCCTAAAAAAAAAAGAAAAAAAAAAGGTTTAATGTTGATTTCATTATCATCATCATCATCATCATCATTATTATTATTATTATAATCATTATTATTATGATTATGTTGTTGTTTTTTGTTTGTTTGTATTCGTGTAAGAAAACGAAAAAGTTTTTAATTCTTTTTTTTTAAATATTTTTAAACATTTCAAAAATTATTATTATTATTATTAAATTTGCAACCAGACGAATTTTCGTTTTTTTTTTTTTTTTTTTTTTATTAGGTTGGCAATAAACCAAAATTTCAAGAACCAGCCAGAACCATTGAAGAAAATTTTTTTTTTTTTTTCGTATTAGGTTGTCTGTTGTGTGTATGTGTAATATCGCTCACACGAACTAGAAAAAATTATTATTATTATTATTATTATTATTATTATTATTATTATTATTATTATTATTATTATTATTATTATTATTACTATTATTATTATTATTGTTATTATTAATTTTTTAACGGTATGGAATTTATCAAATCGAGGGCAGCCATTTTTTTTTTAATTTTTCACTGACCTACCAGAAGAAATTTTGCGATAAAATTAAAAAAAAATTTCGCGTCTGTTTTTTATTATTATCATTATCATCATTATCGTTGCGTAATTAAATTTTTTTTTTTTTTTAAACTTTTTACGACAATTTTCCCCGTTTTCCCCTCTCCTCTTCCTCCCTTTCCCCCTCCTCGCGTCTTTTTTCAATTTTCGAAAACAAAGTCGAAAACCATTTGCGGATTGTTTGAACTTCTTAATTTATTTTTTTTTGACAATTTTTTTCCAGTCGATTTCCTTTTTCTTTGTTTTCCTGGAGAGAGGGAAATGAAAAGGATAATTCTCCAGAGGCGGCTTTCCCCCCCTTCCGATCGTATTTTCCTTATTATTATTATTACTTCCATCATCACTTTTAAACAAGTCGTGATTTTTTGTATTTTTTTGATTTTTTCCGACTTATCGGAATTTCCCAGAGTTCTTTCCAGGGTCCAGTCAATTCCTTCCTGTTTGTTAATCTTATAGAATTTTGGAAAGACCCTTTGACGTCATCAATCATAATTATGCCATTTTCATATTCAATCATTATTATTTTCAATAATTTAATTCCGAAATTTTCCAAATTTTTAAATTTCCCGCCATTTTACGTCGTACACTTTTTCCCAAAAAAAAATTTTAATTTAGTATCGATAAAAAAAATGATGATGATAATAATAATAATAATAAATGCTTGATTACGTAATAAAATAAAATAAAAATTTTCCTGTTTTTTCGAATCATCATATTCGTCCGCCATATTGAAAAATTTTAATAGTAATCGTAATTAGTGTTTAACTTACGAGTTAAAAATTTACAATTAAAATTCGCGAGATTTAAATAACCGACACATTATTTGGAGGTTTTTTTTCTCCAATTGGGTTCGTATGTTTTTCATCATTATCATTATTATCATCATTAGTTTTTCCAGTTTTCCGGTTTTTATTTCTTAATCTTCTTTGGGGTTTCAACGTTAAGTCGAAGAATTTTCTTTTTTTAACCATATCAAATCGTTAGACGCTATTTTAATTAAATGATCTCATGCGGAGGATTTAAAGTATTTTAGAAAAGAGAGAGAGAGAGAGGAAGAGAGGGAGGGAGAGAGAAAGGTAGAGAGAAGAGAGAGAAAGAGATTTTCTAGAACGTTCGATTAAAAAAAAAAAAAAATGAGATTTCGAAAAAAAAAACAAATCTGGGAAAATCAGTTTTCGTTTTTCCTGTCTCCCCCACTGTCTCCCCTTCCTTCCCCTCTCCCTCTCCCCCAAAAAGTAATTTTTTTTTAATAAATTGATTTAGTCCGATTATTATTTTATTATGACGTAGGAATTTAATAATAATAATAATAATAATAATAATAATAAGTAGTAGTAAATAAATCCGTAAATGTAATTTTTCCTTTTAACGGAACCGGAAAATGCAAAATAAAAAACGAATTTTATGACGTCACAAAACAATGAAAAATTATTTTTGTTGTTGTTGAATTTTCATCGTAAAGGCAACAAGTTTAAGGATTTAAGGATTTCCTTGTTTTTTTTTTTTAAGGTTATGACGTAGTTAAGAAAAGAAAATTTTTTTTTTCCAGAATTTTTCTTTTTCTTTACTTTTCTTTTTTCTTTTTCCATAATTTTAGATATTAAATTTTTTTTTTTTTTTAATGCAAATATTTAATTTTTTAAATGGGGAGCGAAGGTTTTTCTTTATTACCTTTAAGGTTTTCTTGTTAAATAAATAATGATGATGATGATGATGATGATATGAAAAACCGGAAGTTAAACATTTAACTTGGCAAAAAACGATTTCTTATGCAAAATTTTTTTTTTCTTGTAGGTTTTTTATTAATATTATTATTATAATCCTTTTTTTTTTGAAAGGTTGAAGAAGGTGCCATTCAGTCAGTCTCTTGTTGTCATGGAAACAAAATTCCAACGGCGCATAACCTTTTTTCAATTTATATATATATTAAATTCTATCTCTCTCTCTCTCACTCTCTCTCTCTCTTTCTTTATTTTTAATACGTGATAACGCTTATCACAAGGAAAAAAAATAAATTTTTTCTTTTTTCCTCTTCACGTAATTTTTATTGTTTTTACGTTTTTTTGTCTTCCTCCCTCCCCCCCTTTTTTTTAATGACGAAATTGGTACTGATGATGATGACGTCATGAAATATAAAATCCGGTATCCGGGGGGGGTGGTAATCTAATTACTGTAATCCAACTACTCGGAGGATAGTTATAGAGGATGTTTTAAGGGAGACGAAGGTTCTGGAATTGGATTTTCCTAGTTGTCTAGGTGTCCGATAGGGGTAAACTTTTAATTTGGATGCTTTGGGGGAGCTCGAGAAAGCTCAAAAAGGGGAAAAATCAATCCAAAAGTCACCGAGTTGAGAGTCGTGGGTTCAAATCCTGAGAGTTCAAGTTTAGATCGTCCAAACAAGAACAGACCTGTACCTACGTAAGAGGATAAGTGACCTAGCACCCTTTAGAGGTAATGGGGATGCGTAGATCCTTGTTCTGAAGGGGTGAAACTGGGTACTTGATCCAAATAGAGAAAATGCGGAGCTGCGATGTGAAAGAAAGACAAATGAACGATCAACGGGATTCGCGATTCCAGACATCTCTCTCTCCCCCAAGAAACTCATAGACTCTGCGAAAGAGGCAGGAACGATAGTAACAGATCGGGACTGTCTCTCGAAGGGTAAAAAGGGGGAAGTACCGGGATCTTCTTCAGGTGAGATTTTGCGAGCGATTCTAGCTCAGGAGAAGGTTGAGGTTGAAATGCACCTGAACGTCCCTCCCTCCGGAAAAGAGCACACCCAGGGATTTCAGTCGGGTAGTTCTCACCCTCTCTCTGCTACCGAATGGGGGGAGGTTAGCGCAAAATGCATTTTTCCCGGGTGTTAACAAAAAAAAAATCAAGTTTTCTCTCTCTTTCTCTCCCCTTTGACTTCCTTCCTTTTGTTTTTTTAACCGCAAAAAAAAAAAATTTTATTTATTTATTTGCTACAAATCAATCGATGCGCTCGTTTTTTATTTTGTTTATTTGCTATCATCAAAGAACATCAATAATTTAAAAAAAAAAAAAAACCATAAAATTTATTATTATTATTATTATTATTTTTATGTTTTGTTTTCTCAATTTATTTTAAAACTTTTGAAATATTTTTTACCGTTTTCAAACTTTAAATTTATTATTATTATTATTTGTTATTTATCAAGAGTCCGTTAAAAAGGGATTATTAATTTAATATAATTAATAATATAAATAAATAAATAAATAAATAAGTCATGCGAAAAAGGATTTCAATAAGGAGTCAATAAAAGTATAAAAAAAAATGAAAACAATGGAATTCGATAGTGAAAAAGGAATCAGGTTAAAAAACCAAAACCTTAAACCTTTTTATTACCTTCTTTTGATTCCTTTCACCTTTTTTTTTTTTTTTTTTTTTTAATTAACGTGAATTTAAAAAAATTTTTATGAGATTTTCTCTTAAAACATTAACGTATTTATCTTCTTCTTCTTTTTAAATTTTCTGCCTCGTTAACACTTAACCCAAAGGTAGAAAATTACTTTTTTCCTTTTTTTTCCTTTTTTTTATAATTATTCGATGGGTTGACGCGATGGTGGTGGTGGTGAGGGGGGTGGCAGTTGTCACACGACTTAAATTTACGACTCCCCAAAGATTTTTCTATTTTTTTTTTTAAAAAAAAAACGAATCGATACGATTTCATTATAAGCGGCAAATCCAATAAAGAATTTTCTCTCTCTCTCTCTCTCTCTCTCTCTCTCTCTCTCTCTCTATGAATATTAATTTCATACGTAAGGTACGAAACGAATAACGAATTTTTTTTTCCTACAAGTTTCCCCTTAAAAATTTTCAATACACACTAAAAACGTTACGAGACTGTTTTGCAAATTGCATAACTTAATATTATCAGTTAATTTATAATTCCCATACGTTTGGTTTTTAATTATCATTTTTTTCCCCTCCCCGTAACGAAATATCGATTTTTTTTTCAAATTCGATAAATTCGATATATCGTTTTATTAATATGTCGTCCGTATAAAATAAATAATTTTACAAACGATAATAAATAAATAAATAAAAATTTTTTAACTTTAGACGTTTTCATTTTGTACATAAAAAAGAAAATATTTTACGTAAATGTTTTAAAATTCCCGATTTGAAATTACAAAAGAAAGGTTAAAGGTTAAAGGTTAATTTTAAATCGATAAATAATAATAATAATAATTTATACGCAATTTTTGAAAATACCCGGAATAAAAACAAAAAGTAAAATAATAATAATAATTTAAAAAAGGAATTTAAAGTCAAAAAAAAAAATTTTCTATTTTAAATTCGTATCCGTGAAAATGGAAAACAAACAAACAAACAAGCAAACAAACAAACAAACAAACCAGAAAACAAGCAAGCAAACAAACAAACAAACAAGCAAACAAACAGGAAAAATAATTAACGTTAAAAAAAACGTTATTGCAACAAATTAAAATTTTTTTTTATTATTTTTATTATTATTATTTTCATTTGTTCGGTTTAAACCTTTTTTTCCCGGGGGGCATGGGCGGGGGCGGGAGGAGGGATCGCGTAATTTTTTTCCAGTAAAACATATAAATATATTAACCGCTGGATCATTTATGAATAAATTAACCGAAATATTTTTAATTCGGAACGAAAAAAAACAAACAAACGAGGAGCGACCAAAAACCGAAACCACGGGGGGATAACGCGGGAAATCCATTAGATAAAAATTTTCCCGAAAAACAAAAAAAAAACTCCAATAAAATAATAATAATAATAATAATTAAAATTTCGTTAAGGATATCCGTCGTCTGCTTTAATTAAACAATCGTCGTCTGCTTTATTTATTTTTATTCGAAAAAAAAAAAAAACAAAACGAAAAAATAATTATCGATGATTTTCTTTTCTCATTTACAAAACGCGTTCGCACGCACTCACGCACTCACCCACGCACTTTTAACGCACGCATTTAATTAAATAATAAAATGACGAACGAAAATGACCATTTTGAAAATAATAATAATAATAATTTTTAATAATAAAAAATGATGTATGCAAAACCACAACGATTCTTTTGTTCACCTGAGAGGGAGAGAGAGAGAAAGGGAGAGAGAGAGAGAAAGAGAAAGAGAGAGAGAGAGAGAGAGAGAGAGAGAGACACAGTGGATTTATAATTATTCATTCTTTCTAATCCTGGTTACTACACTGATCTTCTCGTAACCGGAACCCAGTTTGAGTAATAAAATGAGCTTAAAAAGGTTTAAAATAAGAATTAAGGTTAGAGAAAAGACAAAACGTATTCGGAAAACGTCACCGATATTCGGGAACAGGGTAAAAACCTGGAATAAATGTTGAAAACAAAAACGAATCGTCGCGAGTAATAAGTAATAATAATAATAATATATAAATGTCAGTCACTGGAGTCCAGGAGTACAGGAATTAACTCGTTTCCATCTCGAATAAGATGGTCTCGGGAAGACTTACGAGAATTTTGTGACGTCATAACAAGACGAAACCTATTCGTCAGGCATACAACATTATCACTGATATTCACGCATTTATTCCTTAGGGATCTACGGGTAAAAACCTGGAATAATTATGGACAAAACAAACAAAACGAATAATCGAAAGAGTCATAATAATAATTATAAATCCGCCATATTAATTTTTCTGTAATAAATAATCAATAAATAGCAGGAATAAGGCAAACTTTTTAAAAACTTTCGATTAAGTTTTAAATTTTTTTTAATGGAAAAACTTATTTAATTTATTACTCGCGATTTTGTCATAGAGTAAATAAAAAACTTTCATAGAGAGAGAGAGAGAAGTTAAAATAAAAAATATGTATTTATCAACGTAAAAGAGAAAAAAAAAGAAACAAGAGTAAGTAAAAATATCGATCAAAGATTTTTATTTATTAATTATTATTATTATTATTATTTGAAAACTTTCTGAACTTTTTTTTATGTTCAGAATTAATCTGAGTTATTATTATTATTATAACGAATAATTAAAAAAAGAAAGAAAACTTTTTTTTTCGCACATACATAATGAATTAGAAAAAAAAAATTTTTTTCCCACGTAATTTTTCAATGGAGTTTAAAAAATTTTTTTATTTTTTTTAGTTTTTGTGGGGAGTCGTCGGGAGGTAGAATATTATTAAATTTTTTTTTTTTTAATACTCGTCAAGTACTCGTTCGTTCGTACGGGTATCAAAGTTTTTCTTTTTTTTTTTAATATTTCCAAACGGAAAATTTTTGTCGTTTTTTTTTTTTTTTAATATAACAAACAACAACAACAACAAACACAAACGTGAGTATTTTATAATAATTTATTTATTTATTCGAGCGACAAACATTTTCGTCCTTTATTTATTTATTTATTTATTTTTATGTAAACTACGTCGTCTGCTATCGAACAATTCGTTTTATTTACGTCCCGTTTTTTAAATCATCGTCTTTATTACATTTTAAAATGAATTTTCTGTTCGTTTGTTTCAATTTTCTAGAAAATTTTTTAAGTTTGTTTGGTTGTTTGTTTGTTTATAAAAAATTTCATTTCTTCGTTTGTTTGATAATAACAATAATAATAATAAAATAAAATAATAATAATAATAAAAAAAACGATTCGCGTCACCTGCATTTTTTTAAATCCTTTATTTAATTACACGTTTAAAAAAAATACGTAAATGCAAATGCATTATTATTATTATTATCATTATCATTATTATTATTATTTAAATGGCGACGTTATTAAAATTCATTCCGATTTAAATCCGACAAGCTTTAGGTAAAAAAAAATTATTTTTCTTTTTTCTTCTCCCTAACGCACATCACTCGGAAAGTAATTTTATATCTCCGCCATCTTTTCCCTCCCCACCCCCCGCGGCATCCCCTTTCAAGTAAAAGTAAATAAATTTCCCATTAATTAAAAATTAAAAAATTACTCACAAATAATAATAATAATAATAATAAATTCGATTTATTTTTCTTTTGTTTAAAAAAAAAAAAAAAATGGATTTTAAATTACACCGAAATTAAAACGTACCGAATTAAAAAATAATAATAATAATAATAATAATTTTTTCCCCTCTGTTGTTTCGCGTGGGAATATAGCAGAAGATGAAAAAGCAGAAGAAAATTACGTCAAAACAAGTTAAATAAATTTTAAAAAAATTTTTTTTGTAGGATATCCGTAGGATATATTCCATTTTGATTTTTATAATAAATTATCTCAAAGAAAAGAATTTAACAACAGTTAGATAGTTAGTTAGTTAGTTAGTTAGTTAGTTAGTCAGTTAGTTAATTAATTATTATCCGCTTCGCATAATTTTTTAGTTAAAGAAAAATGAAAGAAAAATGGGAAAAACTTTTTTCAATTGTTTTCACCCTGTCATGTTTAAAAAAAAAAAATAAATTTTTAAACTCTGAGAAATAAATTTTTTATTTCAATTTCAGATCAATCCGAAGAAGAAGAAGAGGATGAAATAGATGATGAAGTAGATGAAGAAGTTGAAGAAGAAGAAGAAGAAGAAATAGAAGAAGAATATAACGATGATAATGACGAGGTTAAACGTTATGGTAATACCGAAGGATTGATAACGGGAAATGATAAAAACGCATACTCGGATAAAAAAATTGATAATAATACTATTATGCAACAGGAAGATAAACCGGAAAAATTAAAGCAAAGATTTATTGTGGAAACAATAACAATGACGACTGTCACGGAAAGAAGAATTGTTACGGAATCCACGGATTCGAATGGACAACAAACGGAAATACCAGAAGAATCATCTAAAAGAATTGGAATACTCAAAGGTGGTAAATATTGGAAAAATTCAGCGGAAAAAAACAATTGTGATAAAATTGTTAATTATAATGATGACGTCAGTATAAAAACGTCACCTTTGAATGATGATGATGATGACGATGGTGATGGGATGTCATCAGAAGAAAATGAAAAAATCGGTAAAGTGATGACGTTACAAAACCCGGATGATGATGGTAACAACAGAGATGTTGTCACCTCGGATGAATCTTTGATCAAACAACCACCGGAAACAACACTAATGAGTCCAGAATCAGCAGAATTGACTCTCACATTCAAATTAGGACAACACATGCTTGTATCGAATAGTTTAAAACCAAATTCGGCAATGAGACAATTATTTCCCGGACCGAGATTTTTATCACCACCACCACCGGAAGATATCGAAACAAACGATACGAATAAATCCAAACAACAACAACCGCAGCAACAACAACAACAACAGCAATTTTTAGTTACCGCAGAAAGTTTAAAATTATTCGAAGAATCTAAAAAATCAAAATTTTTAAGTAAATTAAACGCTGATGATTCCGAACACGGTTATATATCCATCACGTCCTCATCGTCACCATCTAAAAACGATGATAATTTTACGACAAACGGAATACATAGAATGATAGAAAGAAACACTTTGAGAAGAAGTTTGGTTAAATATTCATACGAGTATAGAAATAAAAGATTATCGGAAAAAAAGAAAAATGAAAATTCATTAGAAGAAAGAATAAGACAATTAACCTGCGGAATCGATGATGATGATGATGATGAAGGAGGAAGAGGAGGAGATGAAAATTCGGTTGTCGAAACGGGTAATGATGGTGAAAATTCAATGCTGTCGAGATCGAGTCCACAAGGATGTGAAGAATTTAAAGAAATTGAAAATAATACTACTTCCGGTGATGTTAAAATAATTAATCAACCGGAAGTATCGACGACGACGACAACAACAACAACCCTAACAAACGTTCCAACACAATTAAATTCATCATATACTTCTGGTAATTCGACTTATAAAAAATTAACGGATTTATTTTCTAGAAAAATCAATCCGCCACCTCCATCTACTCCTACTCCTACCCCTTCTTCTTCTTCTTTGACCCCTCTTCCTCAACCAATCATCGAAGATATTAATCGTAATATAAAAAATGAAGGTTCTAATTTACACTGCGATCTAGTTTTAAATAGTGAAAATATAAATAATGTTTACCCCCATAATAATTTAAGAAATTCATTTGGTAAAAATTACGGTCCAAGACCACCCCCATCTACGTCAGATACTAAAAAACAATTTTTATCAACGTTGGCACCACTTACGGCATGCGTTAATCCGGAAGAAAGTGAAAAATTTGTCGAAAGGTGTAGATTGATTGAAGCCGGTGGTAGAATTCCATCGTTCGGAAGAGATCAATCCGAGTATTCGTTAAAAGACGTAGAAGAAGGTTTGAAAGATTTCGAACAGAAGAAATTAGGTAATCAACCTGACGTCATTGCGGAAACGCCACAAAACGAAACACCGAACGACGAATTGGCATTGTTCGTGCAACAGGATTCGAAAAGGATGGAAAAAATTAAAAAAAGATACAGCGCGTCCGATGATAAATCCGATGATGATGATGATTACGGATTTAATAAAAGGCCGTTTGTTAAAGGTGTCGTTACATCCCAATTGACTCCGGCAACGGATAATCCACAACCGAAACAACAACCATCCAATCCTAGACTCGTTTGTCCGAATAATAAACCGAGTATAACGACAGCCACCGGTTCGACCGTTTACACAACTTGGCCTTATTATTCCCAGGAAAATTGCGATGCCAAACATAGACAATATTGTACGTTAAAACAAACGGAAGAAAGTAATACGTATAAATTGTACAGTAGTAGTCCGCAGCAAGAGTACAGAGCTTATGCGGAAGGAAGTGCCAACTATGCCGAATTTAAAGGAGTCGGACAGCAGAGGATAAATTATGTTAATCAACAAGGACAACAGCAAAATATATATTCCACTACGAATACTTATTATCGATGTCATCCTATTAGGTTCGGAGGATATTCTGAACTATCCAATTATCAATTTCGTCATCCTCCTCATTCGCCACCCCCTATGAGGCGAATACTACCCCCACCACAACCGAGTCCGAATTCTTCTTCGGAAGATTTTAAATTAAAACCTAAAAATCGTGTATTCGTTAATAAAAATACTGCCGATGAATATTGTCCTGCTGCTGCTGCTGTTGCTGCTGCTCCTCCTCCTTCTTCTCTTCCTCCTGGAGTAGACGTTTGTAACAGGCCTAAAATTCCAGATGGTTCTAACGTGATTTCATCTCCGCCTGAAGAAATTATGAAACCGCCGGAAACGATTTTTCATCGTACTGTACCGGGAGCTGTACACAATCCGTGTTTGCAGATGAAATTTTCTCCTGTAAATTATCATCAAGGAGTCATACCGACGGCTAGCATACGTTTTTCCGCAACGTGTTCTCCTCATTCGATAGTAGACGAATCAAACGTCATCATCGAACCTCATTATTCGACGTTTCCAAATCCGCAAAATCAAAACACGGTCGGAGTTATTCGAGTGGAACAGGGTCAACAAATGATCAGAGTTCCAGTACCCTATGCTACGGGAGCACCAGTGCAAGTTCATTTGATGGCTGGACGCATAGGAAGATGCGATAGTCCTCAAAGGCCGAGTTCTCCTCAGGGTGCGGTTAAAATCCCCGGTCAACCCTATAATCATTATTTCATAGCCAAAGGTACACAAACGGCTCAGACGTATTCGACGACCGCGATCCGCCCTGTACCACCGCAAAATTCCATTGTTGAAAGACCTCAAACGATCGAACCGGTGAATAAAACGGTGGATTTTGAAAAACAGGGAAAAGCCATAGCCGAAGAATTACAACACAGACAACAAAAATTGGCACTCTCGAGAAGTTTAAGTCAAGAAGCTAATTATTTAACGAAAATAACACCGAGACCACCTTCTCCGAACAATCCTATCGTTCAACAAGAAAGGGGAGTTCCAGAGGGTGCAGCAAGTTCATCCGTACAAGATTCGCAACCCCTCCCTCCACCCCCACCACCCAAACAAGAAAATTCAGTTTCAACACCTGCTGGAAATACTATTTATTACACAATGAACGTCTGACAGATTACTACGCATAAACAAGTCAGTTATTTTCGTCACTAAATTTTCTTTTATTAAATCATCATCATTATTATTATTATTATTATTATTTCTAAAAATTTAAATTATTCAAAATGGCTGTGTTCGTTTTCGATTTTAATTTAATATAAATATTACTAAAAAAACGTCTTACGCATGACGTCAAATAACCTTACACGAGAATAAAAATTACCAATAATCAATAAATCGATAATTTATTAAAATAATAATAATAATAATAATAATAATAATAATAATAATAATAATAATAATAATAATAATAATAATAATAATAATAATAATAATAATAATAATAATAATAATAATAATAATAATGAAATATTTAAACATAAAAGAACGTCGTTATACATATACGCACTTTTAGGGGGAAACGAAAAAAATCAATAATAATGATAATAATAATATTTTTTCTTTCGTCAAAAAAAAAAAATTTTTCATCCAGAAATTTTTAACGAACCCGAATACGAAGGGGAGGGAGAGGGAGAGGGAGAGAGAGAGAGAGAGAAAGAAAAGAAAAAAGACGAAGATTTCAAATTGTGTTTGTGATGGGACCAAAAATTCGACGAAAACAAAAAAAAAAGAACGGAAATGGAAATGGAAAATTCAAAATGGAGTAAACAAAAAAAAAAAAATGAAATTGAAATCAATGAGGAAATAAATACAAGAAAATTTTTTCATCTATTCTCTATCATCATCATCATCATCATCATTATTATTATTAAGGTTTTAATATTAATATAAAAAAAAAAATGGTCGACGATTTGAATGACGTAAATTATTAATTAATAAATTAATTTATTATTTGTTGTACATAGGTGAACATATCAAAAATAAATAAATAAATAATTTTTTCTCCGACGCGAAACTATTATTATTATTATTAATAATAATAAAACAATTAAAAATGGCTTCCGGAATTAAATTTTAGAAAATTTTGTGAGATTTTATTTTAAGTAAAAAAGAAAGAATAAAAATTCAAATAAGAAAATTCATATATAATTAATCACGTGATGCGAACGAAAGCAAAAAAGCAAATTTTTTATTCATAGCAAAACCATCCGTGAATAAATATAAATAACGGGAGGGGGGGGGGGTAACGAAAACCTTATATCGTTCTCTCGTTTATTTATTCTATGAAAGAAGAACCTCGGAGGGGGTGAAATGTGAGAAGAAAAGAGGGAAGAAACGATGCCCTTTCATTATTATTATTATTATTGTCTTAAAAATCAAAAAAAAAATTTTTTTAGGTTTAATAAATAATAATAACAGTAATAATAAATAATTAAATTAACGTTTCCGCCGTTTTTAAAATTAAAAATGGGGAGGCTAGAGGAGGGATTTGGGGAGGCGTGGGAGAGCGCGGGGGGCACGAGGGGCGGGGGCGCTGGGAGTCACTTGATTCGGTTGTAGAACTAAATTAAAATTAAAAAAAAAAAAAAAAAAATTTAGTTTCGCTTAAAAAAAAACAATCAAAATAATAATAATGATGATGCTGATGTTGTTGATTATGATGATGATGATGATGATGATGATGATGAAGATGAAGATGATGATGATGACGATGGTGATGATGGTGATGATAATGATAATAATTTCAAAATAATTTTTTTTTTGTTTTATGTTATTAAATTAAACAATTAAAAACAAAATCAAATCTGCACCGGGGTTAATGTTAATAATAATAATAATAATAATAATTTTTTGAAGGGTTTAAATAATAAACGAGAAAATATAATTCCTAAGGAATCATTTTTCAAAAACGATGATAATGATGATGATCATAATAATAATAATAATTGTGCTTCCATAAACGCACCTGCTCCGTTATTATTTAATTACAATTCACGTTGCCAAAGATGATGATAATAATAATAATAATATTTACTTTTAACTACTATTATCATTATTATTATTTGCATTTAATACCGTTCGTGTTTAAATTACAAATGATTAATTATTATTATTATTATTATTATTATCAGTGTGCCAATTAATTAATTGTCGAGCGTGTGTATGTATATTTGAAAAAAAATAAAAAAATTTTTTTTTAGAAATAATTAAATTAATAATAATAATAATAATAATAATAATCGTTAATAATCGTTAATAATTAGTGATTTTTAAAATTAATAAATTAATAAGTAAATAAATAAATAATTGAAAAAAAAGTAAATATTAAAAATTAAAAAAAAAAATTATTTCGTTTAGGCTAATTAATAATAATAATAATATTATTATTATCGATCGATAAAATTTCGAAAAAAAAATAAAAATAAATAAATAAATTTATGGATGTTGATTCATTATATAATAATAATAATTGTTAAATTTTTTTCGAATTCTTCGAATTCGAATGTTTCCTTTTCTCTCTCTTTCTTTTTTATTTCGATTATATTATTTTTTAATTATTATAAATAAATAAATAAAATAACCGTTAATAATAATAATAATTAATAAATAAATAAATACTCAATTTTTTTTTTCTGCGGTAGTAATTTAATTTTAATAATATTTATTTAAATTGTAAAATTATTAATTACCATGTAAATAATATTTAAATAAAAATTTGTTATGAAAATTAATAATAATAATAATATTTATTGATTTTTTTTTTTCATTTTATTATGACGTCATTAAAAAAATCGATTCCATTTTTTTTTTATTAAAGTTTTTTAAACGAAACGAATAAAACGATGGCCAACGAAAAAAAAAAATGGCGGCGGAGGTTTAATTTGCAAATAATAATAATGATAATAAATATAATTTACGTAAATAATTTCTAGCCGAGTTAAAAATAAAATAAATAAATAAATAGAATTTAGCAGAAGACGTAGTTTGAAACGAAAAAAAAAAAAAAAAAAAAAAAAAAAAAGGAGAATTGATTCGAACATATGTTTTATTGTCGTCGTTGTGTCGATGAGGCTTTTTCTGATTGGTTGAAAATTTAAGTCTGTGGCATTGAACGTTAGCAAAAACGTATTTGTTTTGCTACTCTTTAATACAACATAATGGACACGTAGAAATATGCCAATAACGGCTCATTGTAATTAAAATCGTGTAAATGTAAATAATTAATAGTTAGTTAATTTTAAATCAAATTTAAAATATGTTTAAATCAAATCGAAACGTTTAATAACTTTAATTTTATTTAATGTCATCGTCTATATGTATTCGTAACGGTTACTGTGATTTTTATAATTATTATTACTGGATAAGGAAGGAAAATATTTCTTATTCGTTTTTTTTTGATAACGTATTTCATTTCGGATGAATAATTTTAAAAATGGATAAGAATAAAAAATTTCTATTGTCAGCAGCGGGGATTTTTATATCGTTTTTTTTTTTCGGTTTGATACAAGAGAAAATAACCAAAGCACAATATGTCAATCCTGATGGTAGCGTTGAAAAATTCACGTATTCAACGTCACTTGTCATTACTTATTGTTCAATGAATTATATTTTTTCATTATTGATTTTAAGTATTGTCAAACAAGAGGATACGACTCCTTGTATGTATTATAGCGTGAGTGGTTTACTTTATTTTCTCGCAATGATTTGTTCAAATATGGCTCTTCAATTTATCAGCTATCCTACACAAGTCATTGCTAAAAGCTGTAAACCTATACCTGTGATGATATTCGGTGTTTTGCTTGGTAAAAAAAGTTATCCAGTTAGAAAATATTTTTTTGTCGGAATGGTCGTCATAGGAGTCATTATGTTCATGTACAAGGACAAAAAAGAAGAAAAGATCAACAAGGCAGAATCGGAGGGTAAAGTGTAATAATAATAATAATCTAACTAGTAATTAACAAATTAAAATTTATACAATCGAATTTATCTAATTACAGGTATAGGAATCGGTGAACTTTTAGTTTTGTCGTCACTATTCATGGATGGCCTATACGCAGCTGTACAAGAAAGAATGAAAGCTGAATTTAAAACAAAATCCCTTTGCATGATGTCACAAATAAATAAATGGGCAACAATATTTTTACTCATACTCTGGATAGTAACAAAAGAAATATTTTCATTTGCCATGTTTATACAAAGGCAACCGAATGTTTTGTATAAACTTGGTGCATTATCAGTCTGCGGGTTTTTCGGTCAATTTTCAATGATAACAACGGTAACCGAATTTGGTACTTTACCAGCAGCCATTGTTGCCAACATTAGAAAATTTTTTACTGTTTTAGTATCAGTATTAATATTAGGTAATTCCCTATTGGGTAGACAATGGCTGGCCACTGTTGTTATATTCTCAGGTTTATTTTTAGATATTTTGTACGGGAAAGCTGACACTAAAGTCAAATAATAATAAAATTATTTATATTTGTTAAGTTTCTTTCTTTTTCTCCTTTTCATTAACTATTTCACGATTAAAAATAAGATTTCAAATTGTGTGTGAGAGACTTTTATCGAAACACAAAAATACCTAATCCAACCTATCGAATAACAAAAACAAAACAAAACCCTAAAAAATCAATCAATTAAATTAGGTTTTAAAAAGGTTATAACCTTTTTAAAACCTAAAAGGTTATAACCTTTTTGTTAGGTTTAACCTAATCTAACAAAATCATTGTTTGCCCACAACCTGTTGATAAGTAATAAATATTTTCCTAAAGTAATAATTTTCATTTGAATATTATTATTAACCGTTCGAATAGTAAAAAAAAAATATTAATAATAATAAAATTTATTTATTACCCTCCTCCAATAATAATAATAATAATAATAATAATAATAAATAAATAAATTGAAAATAACGGTTATTTAATAAAAAAAAAAAAAAAAGAAAAATGTCTGCCACGACGATTAGTCAGTAAAAAAAATTTTTATTGTGCGCATGCGCATAATAAAAAAAATTTTTTTTTTTTAAATCTTTAAAAAAGTTGTCATGGTGAATTTAATTTTTTTTTTTTTTATTTATTATCTTTCAGTATCGTTTCGATTGGCAATAAAGATATGTGTGTGTGCGTACGATGCGTTCGAGTGCGTGTATGTACATAAAATAAATAAATAAAAATTATTTAAATTTAAATAAACGTATTAATTAATTATTTTATACATAAGAAAAAATGATTAAATTGATTTTTTTTCAAATATAATATTAATTATAAACGTTAATAAGTGTTTGTTCGTTTGTTTGTTGCCTGTTTGTTGTCGTGTTTGTTTTATTGTGATCCGATAAGAATTTATTAATATAAAATCGTAAGAGGAAAATAATAATCGATTTCAAAAAAAAAAAAGGGAACAAAACGAATCAAAAATAAAATGAATGAATGAATGAATTTTAAAAAAAAAAAAGTAAGTAAATTAAAAAAAATTTTTTTGTTTTTTTTTGGGGAGCCTGGGGACTAAGGGTGGAAATGATACAAAAAAAAACTGGAATAATTACTCGAAATTTCATTAACTGACTAATTGGGAAAATTTTTTTTAAAAACGTTTGTTCGTCTGTTCGTTTGTTCGTTTGTAATTTATCTAATAAAAACTTTTCTCTCTCTCTCTCTCTCTCTCTCTCTCTCTGATTACATTTGGGGGACTCCGATGAGTCTGATAATAAACATTGTTTCATTATGTTATTTCTGACATTAAGTTTAATTGTCATCGTTTGTTTGTTCGCTCGTTTGTCGTTTTTTTGGGTTATTGTTTGTTCAACGGCATGGATTCATTTTCCAGCTGTTGAAAGGATTTATGGCGCATGTCTCGTTTTGTCCTTTTTGGAGGAGGCCGCAACAAAGAAAATTCAAACGACTGGATTGCAACGAAATTACGGTTCTTATCAATCGATATTTCCCGTGTAATTTTTCTTTTTTTTTTTTTTTTTCTTACCCGTTCCTTATTATTATTATTATTATTATTTCGGTTTTTATCGATAAGCTAACTATGAAAACGAAAAAAAAAAAAAAACAATGAAATCGCGTATTTAATTATGTTTTTTTTTTTTGTTTTTTAATACGATTAATTTTTCAAATGCGTGGGAGTCGAATTGAAAAAAAATTTTTTTTTTTATAAATTATTTTACCCATCGTCCCCATATTTATTATTAATATTATTATTATTATCAAACATGGGAATTATGTTCGTTTTTTTTTAAATTATATTAATACGGTAAGTTCATATTGATTTATAAAAATAAAACTGGGTGGTGTCATTTGTCTAATTTTTTACTTTAACCGTTTTTTTATAACAAATACCTAATTATTATTATTATTATTATTATTATTATTATTATTATTATTATTATTATTATTATTATTATTATTATTATTAATTTAATCCGAGTATCGTAATACGAATTATTATTATTATTATTATTATTATTGTTGGTTACACGTTTAAATAATAATTGATATAAAGTAAACAATAAAAGAAAAAATTAATACGTATTAATTTTTTTTTACTTAATATAAATCAAACATGAGAAAAAAATTTGTTTGTGTTTGTTCGTGTTTGTTTGTGTGTGTTTGTATGTGCCTAATAAATCACATAAAACAGTTTCATTGTTATATATATATATATATATATATATATATATATATTTAAAGAATTAAAAGTACGTATTTGGCCTAGTTAATGAAGAAAATAATAATAATAAATTAAATGGTATACGCGCGTTTGAATAAATTAGGGTAAATTTTATTATTATTATTATTATTATTGTCTCGGTCGTACTAACAAAAAAAAAAAACAAACGATCTATGATGTTATTTTATTTATTATTATTATTAATATTATGTTGTTGTTGTTGTTGTTATTGTTGTTGTTGTAGTTATTGTAGTAGTAGTAGTTGTTATAGTTATTGTTGTTATTGTTGTTGTTGTTGTTGTCGTTTGTTGTTTGTTGTTGTTGTCGTTTGTTGTTTGTTGTTGCTGTTAACGGGTTAGAAATTTTGTTAAAATATTCTCCGAATTATATAAATTTTAATAAAAAATTAATAAAACGTTTAAATATTTTTTTTTTTTTAATTCGATTACTTCGAAAGCCATTTTGTTTTTTTATTAAAAAAAAAGAAAAATTATTAAGGGATGAATTCCAACCCATT